AAAAAAGAAAAAAAGAAAAGCAAATGAAAAAGGAAAAAAAATTATATAATAATAATTCATTGGGGGAAAGTGTTGGACTTGGAGACTGTAGGAAAGAGACTATTGGTATGAACAACAAGAGGAGAATATGGTCACGATTGGGTGTTCGAGTTGAGATGTACATATTCGAGCCACTTACTCTATACTTATCCTACCCGATCCCAAGATCCTACGCTACAACCCAAAAAGTCCATTTGACTCATTCGTTACTTTGATTGTTTCAGAAAAGTATATGATTGAATCCGACTGACGACAAATTCAAGCATGCATATCTCATATTTATGAAGAAATTGAGTGAGACATATATTATATTATCGTGCTCCCGAGTTAGTAATTGAGGTATGCTCTTGTGGTCATTGGAATTAACCTCGACTTAGTTGATGAGACTATTCTTATTTGAAACTGATGTCCATGCTCGATTGTTTGTTTTCATTTCTATTTTTTGTTCGGGAAGAACAAAAGTTTAAGTGTGGGTGAATTGTTTGTCCTATTTTTGTTGTTATTTTTGATATCGTTTTGCATTTATTTTTCCTCATTTTAGGTTTTCTACCTGGTCATTTCTCGTTACTTTATTTTATTTTAGTTTCTATGTTTTTTCTCTTGTTTTTCCTGTGTTTTTTTTGTTTTTATTGTCTTTGAAGGTGGCCAAGCTTGGAACTTCGATCAGGCATTTAGAAATCCAACCAATCCTAGGGGAAATTGATCATCCCAGTGGCGTATGTATATTTATGTAGAAGGGTTCATTGGCGACGAGTAAGAAAAAATAAAACTCAATTCCGAGTCCGGATGAGCACGCACGAGCCCGTGCCGCACTGCTGCGCAACTGTCTCCCAACATCCGCGAAGAGCGAAAAATCCGCGGCTTGCAGAAATTACTACGACTGAAGCCTGCCTAGGGCCGCGACCGGCGGACCATTCACGACCCACAACGCATGCTTTCTGTGACCCATGGATCATCGCGACATGAATTTAAATTTTATGTGTTTGAATTGATTTGGACGGGATATTTATTGGGAATCATGCCTAGGGTAAAGGGGATCATTTCAAACTTGCAATTTCAGTTTTTTTTTTTTTTTTTCAAACACCATTTTCTTTAGTTTTTCATCTTGAATTCGATCTTGGAGAGTGACACTCCAAGAATCGATTAGTAAATAGTTTCTTAGGATAACTTTATCCGATTTTCATTTTCTCCCATGCTAAGAATGTTGGAAACAAAAACATTGAGACCGAACTCTCGCAGTCCTAATCCGATTGTAAGTTTTTAATTCTGTTTTATTATTGTTGATTGGGTTTATGTTCTTCAATCTGATTAACGTAAAATTGAATCCAAGAATGAGGTAATTCATCCACCTAGGGTTTCAAAATTTAAATATTGTTCTGAATTATGCTGAATGTGCTTTGTTCAATCTATATGAGTTTCTTGAATATTAGGATTCGCCGATTGTTCATATGCTAAGTAAACGACCTTTAGATCCTAAAGGGGACGATTGTTGATCCTAGGCTCATATGAGATGAACGTTTTCTTCTAATATATTTAAACAACTTGTAGAACCGAGAATGGAGGAGTTGTTCGACCTAGGCTCGTATAGAGTAGACTTGTTTGTAAAAGTATTGCCTATGTGTTGCTTGATTGCGTGAGTTTGTCGTTTATGTGTGTGCTCTTGTTACGAAAAGTTACAGAGCATAAACCTTTAGACGTCTTGTTTGTATTATTTTTGGGCAATTGGTAACCGAGTTACCCGAACTCGGGTCGTTCTCAAAGGAAGGCTCTTCGGAGCTTCGTTCACTATCTAGTCGCCAAATCACACAACCGAAAAGAAGGTCCTACACATTCTACTCACTTGATGGGGTTGGAATTCACGAAATTAAACTAACAATATAGAGCAAATGAAAGCAAATGATGCAAGATGCAAGCACGCAAGAAGATGAGAGAAATCAAGGGGAAAGAGAGATTTTGGTTCGTCGGAGTCTCTATGATCAATCACGCACAAATAACCGAACATTTCCATGCGAGCTAAAACCCTAGATAGCTAAACCAAGCTCTAGCACAAGACGAGCAAGCATTTAACTCCTAATAACACTTAGTCAAGCATTCACGATCCAAAGATTCAATCTTTTCCTCCAAGCAACTCAAGCACAATATCAATTTTTACTAAAGCAAACAAAGATATACGAAGTAATGAGGCTTAAGACTAAGTACCCACTCTTACACGCACTTGGAAGGAGAAACGGAGTCAAAAGCTCGAAACTTTACTCGAAACAATGTCGCCAGAAATTCGCCGGAAAACTTGATTCATATGTTCCAAACCAAAATATAAAAAAAGGAAAAAAGAAAATAGAGAGGAATTTCCCAACTTAAAAGTTGGGAAATGAGGGTTGTGTCCAAAATACAAAGCCCAATGTCTATTTATAGCTACACCACAAACACACACTAAAAACACACACATTTAATGAAATTCTGAAGTTCGCCGGTCTCGAAATGGAGTTCGCAGCGAGTTTGGGCATGGAATAGTGCTGGAATGGGTGTTTCGCGGGTCGCCAACGCTAGTTCACTGGCGAGTGCATGGGAGAGTGTTGCTGGCACGTGGTTTCGCGGCTCGCGAATGGGAGCTCGCCTGCGAGTGCATGCGAGTGGAGATGCGCTTCGCGGGGCGCGAAGTGTAGTTCGCCAGCGAGTGCGGGGCATCTTGTGCATGGCGTTTAGCGGCATGCTAGTGGAGACTCGCTGCGAGTACGTGGGTGTTGAGGTTGTGTGCGTAGGCCACTTCGCTAGGCGCCAGTGCTCGTTCGTAGCTAGTGCTGGACCGCGGTTGAGTTGTCTTCGGGCTAGACTCACGTCTCGAAATTGGCTCGGAATTGTCTCGGAGAATAGCTCATCTTCCCAATCATGCAAGTAGGACCTATACAACACACCAAAAGAGACGCAAAAATACGGCAAAATACAAAAACACACGACGAGAACAAAAACACATAAAACACGACAAAATGAACCGGTTGACACTAAAACGACTCGAATAAATCACATAAAACACGAGAAAATAAGCACAAAAACACAACAAACAACTCCCCCACACTTAACTCTTTGCTTGTCCACAAGCAAACAAAATAA